GTAAACGACAAGAGAAGTCTCCCTTGCACTTGGATGTCTGCATTAGCAGTGTTGGATGAAGACCCTGTGAATAGTTTCTGGTATTATATATGTATCACAGTGTAGTCCAGCCATCCTAGAGAATTGATATTGTAAGGCAGGGCAGGGAAAATGAATCTTGTGAAGAGTACATATTATTTATTGTGTTCTGTTATGTGTGCACAAGCTTTAGAAATATCTACTGTGTCCAAAGAAACCTACAAATTTAGCCTGTTGCCACCTTGTACTGTTATCATATAAAAGCAAGCGCACACTTAACATTTGCCAGAACACCAAAGGAATACTTCAGGAGCCTGTACATACGAGGTGATGAGAGATGCTCAAAGCATTATTTACAAAATATATCATTTTACTGTCCTGGCTTAGTATATCATATTGCCAGAAAAGTGGATGTATACTTTAAATTGTGTGACTATCGTGCAGCTAATCTTCAAAATGTGTTGTTTTTTTTCTTTCTTTTTCATCAGGGATGAAAATGAGTCAAAGCATAATCCTTCACATATGAGTGACATTGTTTCAATGGATGAATGTGATGCTATACATGCATCAACAAGTAGGAGTTTGCAATATGCGTGAGTATAATAAAATAAATACCATTATACAAAAGACAAACCAGTAACTTGAACTCTCATGCTAACGCTCCCCTTAACTTAAACTTAACAGTAATTCCCTCTAAGATAAAGGTAATATTTGCCCTCTTTGTAACCCTGACACTAATTCTTACTGTAACCCTAACACTAACCCGCCCTGTAACACTAACCGTTTCTGTAACATGAACCCTTACATTAATACTCTCTGTAGCCCTATCCCTCACGTTAAGCCTTCCTGTAACCCTAAGATTAATCCTCTCTATAACCCTAGCACTGACCTTCATTGTAACCACATCCTTTACCACCTCCCTATAACCCTAACACTAGCCTTCAAATTGAACCCCTCTGTAATCCTAGCATTAACCCTCATTGTAACCCCAACCCTTACACTAACGTCCCTATAACCCTAACACTAGCCTTCACAATGACACCTCTGTAAACCTAACACTAACCCTCTCAATGGGGCTCTCCCTTATGCAAACTTAACTCCTTGTTTATAGACTTGTCTCTCCTGCGCCAGGATCTTCTGTGCCAAAGACTAACCCTTCAGTGCCAATAGATACCTGTGGTGCCAAAAGCTATTCTAATATAGATAGATAGATAGATAGATAGATAGATAGATAGATATAGATAGATCTATATATATAGATCTATTTATATAGATCTATCTATATCTATCTCTCTCTATATATGTATATATAGAGAGAGATAGATATAGATAGATCTATATAGCTATATATACATAATATTATACTATTTTCATGTTTATGTCATATGTTTACTGTAGGTCTCCGCCGTATGGTTCACCCGTTGGTAGTCCCATTGCACATGTTGGTAATCCACCACACATATACAGGTAAGATACTTATGGTGTACATATATAATGCTTATATATGTTCACTAAATGTACAGGTGAAACTCGAAAGTTCATTTATTTCACTAATGCAACTTAAAAGGTGAAACTAACATATGAGATAGACTCATTACATGCAAAGCAAGATAATTCAAACCGTGATTTGTCATAATTGTGATGATTATGGCTTACAGCTCATGAAAACCCCAAGAACCCCAAAATCCACAACCTCAAAAAAGTAGATGATTACACGCAATCAATAAAACAAGGATTGTACATAGAACAATATCAGACCTCTGAAAAGTACAAGCATGCATATGTACTCAGTACTTGGTTTGGGCCCCTTTTGCAGCACTTACTGCAATTACTTTTGCACGATATTCTAATTATTCGAGTTTCACCTGTAAATCATACTACACAGAGACCAAATGATTGTAGCCCTAGAACTTGCTGGGATCATTAATGTTTTAAAAGGCTAGTCATAGCTAGTAAATAAAGCAAACAAAAATATCACTTAGAACCATAGGTGCACAGTTCTTGTTGTTTACATGGTATGACAGCTCTCTAGAATATTTTGGCTTGTGTTTTATTCACCAGGACTTACATTACTGAGTACATTTGGCCCTTTAACCCTTTTGTGACTAGGGATGATCTGTTCCTTGATGCCCAGGCTATGTTTAACAGTGTCCATATTAGGGATGCACCCATAAATCGGCCGCCAAAACATATCGGCCAAAAATTGCATTTTTGGCATAATGCTGAAAGTGCCATTGTCCTGCCGATACATCGGCGCATCCCTGCTTTCTTTCCTCCCCGCTGGGCGCTGCTCTGTGTCCCAGCGGGGAGGAGAGAAAGTGTGACAGCCGGCCTAGCGCTGCAGCAGGAGAGTAGTAATGTAAAAAATAAAAATATTTAATAAAAAATTAATTAATAAATACAAATAAATACATTAAAAAGTTTATAAAAAGAAAATATTAAAACAATTTGTAAAAATTAAAATAAAAAACATTTTCGGTATCGGTTTCAGCCTGAAAATTTTTTACATTTTGTTTTTGTTTTAAAATTTCCATTTCGGTGCACCTCTAGTCCATATGCATCTGTAAACCTGACCTTAAAGCTATCACTAACTGGTGCTAGACTCTAGTTCTGCTTGGGGAAGTTTATAAACATATCCTCACAGCATAGAGCAACCAGTCAGCTTCTCTGTTTCATATTCAAAGCTTTACTGAGCAAACTGAAAAGAGAAGCTGGTTGGTTGCCATGTGCAACTGCTCCAGATTCTGTCTGCACCAGTTTTTATGAATTCCCCCCATTGTGCTTATTTTTCTTAGAACAGTTGCTATATTGGTACAATATTATACTTAATAGTCACATTTATTCTTTGACATGAATCTTGTGAGATCTTCAGGTTGCCTTTGTTCCCTATGTGGAGCGTTTGATAGCTGTTTGCTAGCAATTATACAATGGGTTGATCAAAAATAGCCTGTGAGCGCCGGAGCCATCCTCTGTATTAAAGACAAAGGTGGTGGATGTTGGAATATAAATTTCTCTGTGAGGGTCAGAGACATAACAATGAATTACAGGAGAAATGCATACATTGGAGATATAGCCAGGTAACACCGCAGGTGGCGATGTGCATGCAGCAAGCTAATGGATTCTCTGCTGAGCACTTCTACTTAGCAAAATGTAATTCTAGACAACAAGCTATATAGATAATAACAGATCTCTATTAGATAACTGGTTACATTATTGAATATGTGTTTATGCTCTAGTCCTACAGTTCTAACAGGACTAATTCATCCGCTTCAGCATACAATGCCAGAACATGCCTCTTTTACTCCTAATCCGAGGTAAGTGTAGATACTGTGCTTTGCAAATCTATTAGTGTTAGAAATATATATATATATACATAATAAGGCACACAAATAGGTCCAGTGATTCCACTGTGCTTTTTGTGGCAGTGCACTTTAGCCACCTCACCTACGGTCTTTCTCACATTGTTTTAAGGCACATGAAATAAACTGATTGCAAACTACAATCGCGATACAAATTAGTAAATTAAATGTGAGATTGTAGTTTATTACAGGAGTGAGCTTGGAGTGGTGGCTACTTTAAAAACACACACACACAGGGACCATGGTGAGCAAAAGTAGTCACCCTCCAGAAGGAAGGACAGTGTCAGCACCAGTTCAGAGATGATTTGAGGATCTACAGCCGAGTGATAAGATTTGTGTGTGAATGTTCTCATTCATCCAGGTTATGGTATATCTGTAAAAAATAAGTCAAGGCAACTGGACTTGCTGTATTTTTCTTGAAGACGTTTCACTGGACATCCGACCAGCTTTCTCAATTCAGAATGACTTGTAAAAAAATTATCTGGGAATAAATATAGTGAATGTTGCTCCAATCCACATAATCAACATCCTGGGGTGACTAACAGATTATGTGGATTGGAACAACATTCACCATATTTATTCCCAGACAATTTTTGTACAAGTCATTCTGAATTGAGAAAGCTGGTCGGATGACCCGTGAAACGTCTTCAAGAAAAATACAGCAAGTCCAGTTGCCTTGACTTATTTTTTACAGATACAAATAAAATAAATTTTTGTTAATAGTAGAGACACTTGAATACATTTTTAAGATTTAAATGCTAAGTTCACCTTTTGCAAAAATAAAAGAAATGCATATTTGATCATATAAAAAAAATGCATTTCTTTCATTTTTTGCATTCAAGCCTTGAAAGCATTGCAACTGTGATCACTCGATCAGGGCTGCAAAGCTCAGGCTTCTGCACATTCTCATACAGGCAGAGCTCCATTCTGAGGTACAGAGTTTCAGTTAGGAGAGATGGGGAAGAAGGGCTGGACTTCAAACTGCATTAAATCACCTCATACTGCTTCCAGCCGTCCTCACTCTAGGTAGATGTGGGAATATGGATAGCTTTAACCCATCTAACTAGAGGGAGGAAGGCTGGACGCAGTATAAGCTTATTTAATGCTGTTTTGAAGTCAAGCCGCCCTTCTCTATTTCTCCTAACTGAAACTCTGTACTTCAGTACGGAGCTCTGCCTGGGGCAGAATGTGCAGAAGCCTGAGCTTTGCAGCCCTGATCGAGTGATCACCATTGCAATGCTTTCCAGGCTTGAATGCAAAAATGAAAGAAATGCATTTTTTTAATATTATCAAATATGCATTTCTTTAATTTTTTCAAAAGGTGAACTTATCCTTTAACTCCTGAGTTTACTGTCACTTTAAACTGCATACTTGTCCTAGGTCAGTGACTCAGAAAGCACTAAAACCATTGGATCAGCATTGTCAGCCCCTTCTTTAGTGCAGGTTTCCTTTATTGTGCTTTGATAATATATTTCTTGAAATTTGGATGGAATCTTAAGCTGATATGGTATAAGGAAATACATTTGTGTGTGTGTGTGCGAATGTATGTATATATGTGTATATATATTTATTTGTTCCATTTTCTCTTTGTGATTTTAGGTATATTTCAAGTCCTGCATATCCGTGTATGGAGAATAGTAATCCAATATGGACCCCACCTTATATTCATGAATCACCAACCTTTCATTACCCGGAGGCCTATCCTAGTGGAGCAGTGTAAGCTGATGAGAACACATTGACATGCTTGTGGTCCTTTATGAATATACTGCACACGACTAAAGTAGCAAACTGTACACTTCAAGTGCCTTTTTGCAATGTAGTATGGCATATCATTGCTCTGCACAACATAAACGAATCCTCTGTATGGCTGTCCATAGATTGGCAGATGATACTAGAGAAAGACAGGCATTTGACAATCTCTTTTAGTGTCTAAAATCTCCTGAAATGGGACATGAGCCCTTTGCACTGATACTTTCAAAAAAGATGGGAAAACTATGTGCAATAAAATATGTTACTGATGTTGAATCAGCCTCTTATTGTTCCCTATGGCAGCAGGCAATGGTCCAATTTGTGTTGCACTGGCCCATCCAGGAAGGGAAGGATCAGGTAATTTATGGCTATCCCTCTTTAGTTACCCTCAGAATTGCTGCGTCACTGTATCTTGTAACAGTTTACCTCTAAAACCAGAGGTCTGCAGTTATAGCATCATGTTAGGGTTGCTGACCCTCCTTCCTCCTTCAAGGCAAGGTGTTATGTATAATAAGGCCATATTAAAAACCGTTATATAACCTTACCACAGCCATACCACTGCTTAAAAAGGCATATATTAATAAAGCACATGTGTAAATGTTACATTCCACTTGCTTTAGAACATTTATTGCAATGAATGAAAACAAAAAGCTGGGATGAGAAAAACCTGGTTACTTGGCCTTGCAAATACCATTATGCAAAGGCTTTTGTAGTCTAAGGGTTAACTTTGGATTTAAATTAATAATGGTACATTTAAAACTATATACTGGTTTTGTTGAGAGTGAGGAAAGGGACAGGACAGGATGGATGCATGGGTGGGTGGATGGATGAAAAGAGGGATGTACATTGATGAATGGAATGATTAATTCTATTTTTTTTTGGCTTTAGTCCTCTTTTGGGTCAAAAAAGTACATTTACTAATGTACACCTGTGACCCAAAGTCTGTCCCCTATTTGTTGACATCACCGAACTGTGCTGCAGCCAGGAAAGATCCTGACAATATTGTCAGGATCCACCCCGCTGCCTGATTGACAGCTGGCTCTGCCTCTCTAGAGCCAGAGCCAGCTGTGCCTGACCCCTCCCCTGTCTATCCTTTCAGCGAGCGCTAGAGGAGCAGAGAGGGAAGAGGGGTATCCCTGCAGGGAGCAGTGACTAACAGTCACCGCTCTCTGCAGGGAGAAGCCACGAGCTGAGCAATTAGTGGTTTGTGATTACTTAGCTCTCGATCTATCGAGCTGGCATAAGACACCTGCATTGTTATATGCCGAAGTATTGAGAGGAGTACATTTTACTCTCCGATACTTCTCCTTTAAGGTCCCGATCTAAAATCAACAGATTATTTGTTAAACACCATCTGTTAATATTTACCATAGCTTTCTCTTTTTTTTATTAGGAGTCAGCTGGAAGAGGTATTGGACATAATAAACACTGATGTCAGCCTATCCAGTTTTTCTACTTTTTCTCATCTTCCAATGGATGAAGATCCTAGCTGGGGCAACTGAGTCTTGCAAGCTTCAGTCTTAACACTTATGACAAAAACCTTCTTTTACCATGTATATTCTGGGTGAAAACAGCAGCTCTGGACCAATCATTTGTCAAGCAAATCGCAACTGAAAAAAACAAACCAGTTACTGGCTAATTTATACAGGATTTGTGGAGGCTTCAATACAAGTATCCATTGTAAATGACACCATGGACACCAGACAGAATGATGTATCATGTATGGCAGTGTAAATAATGACACAGCATGATAAACTAAAAATAAACGTCCACTATCAGGATCTTCAGCATTACGTTCTGTGAAGTGATTCATGCAGCAAGTGGTTGGCTTTAGGAATGCGTGAGAATGAATTCTGAGCCCACACAGCTCAGCCTCCTACCTGCTTCGAGGCTTTCTGGCATGCGGTGGGTTTTACGGATTCTGGGGCTGTGTGTAGGCATCGCTACCGTGGCAGTCAGATGTGATCTTTTCTAGGCCATGTGTGGGAGGGCCATCAAACCACAGAATTCTTCAGCCCTTGGGAGCATGTTTGTCACAACCTCTGATATTACAAGATCACAAAATGAAATGAACTGCTCCATGAATGTATTGTTGGAGGGATGATCATACAGCAATATACTTGTGAATAAGTTGGCTAATAACCAAGCTAGACTGAGTAGGACATATCACAAGTAAATATCAGTACTCTACCATTAACAGAAAACCAGCATGTATCGATAAAGGAAAATGTACATATCATTTATAAACGTTTTTTGTGCCAAGAAAGCAAGGTTTCCTATTTCCTTTTTTAAAGGGTTAATCTACCAGAAAATGATAGTCCGGTTCTGCGTGATTGAATCTTACATTAGCTTCCTAAATCTCTCAGAGAATCTAAAGGCGAGAGCCAACTTTGCCTTGTTGCAGCCATTATTAGTAGTTCTCCTTGATTTTAGATTATTATATTTCTTTACCATATTTACAGTATATAGTGCCATTGTAATGAGCAGCAGTTAAAGGCTAACTCCGGCATTACTTTTTTTTAGCAAAAAAAATATTGCCCCACAGTTACTAAAACAAATAAAGCAACTATTGCTCCAATACTCACCCTACCTCTGGTGTTGTCCACCGTAGGCTCATCGCTGCTGCTCTTCTGGGACAACCCGCTTCCTGTACATTGAAGCTTGGCTTCGGCCAGCCATTAAAAATATATGTTGGTGCCCCCCTGTATAGTAACAGTCTACTGTTTATTTAGTGTGCGGGTAGGTGTAAAGCAGAGAAATATTTTTCTTATTCCTCGCTCCCTTGACAGCCATTGCTCTCCCCAGATCTGCTAAAGCCCAGGAATGTGGGTGGGCCTTCAACATCCTCATGTTCTTCTCAATAGAAAATTATATTTTTGTATTTATTTTAGTCAAGTTATCATTGTACTCTACTCCTTTTTATTTAGTTCATCCTTCCCTGCAGAGCATGTGAGCTTCTCTCCAATTCACTACTAACCTTTGTTAGGTTAACCTTCAGGGAAGGGGGGTCATGTGAAAAAGAAGGGCTGATGTGATCAACTTACCACCCTTGCCCCCTCCTTTTTGTCCTATAAAAACAAAGAATGGACCCAACCTAATGCCACAGTGGTCCAAGGAGATTGCAAATGGCTGCTTGGTCACAGCCCACCACTGCAATCACTAGCATCATGTAGCATGCAAAGTACTAAAAAAAGCTCTAAAGGTACCATAGACTTCCTTGGAACTCTGTTTGGAAAGTGCTCTAAAGCCAGCCTGGCATGATACCAATTGACCTACATTTTTATTTTGGAATGCGGGTGGAAACTGGAGCACCTGAAGTAAACCTATTCAAAAATGTGGAAAGCGTACCATTGAGGAGGAAAGCACTGGCACTTCAGCCAGCAGATGTGAATCATTTTGTCTCTGACAGGTATAAGGATTATGAAGATTCATTTGGTAGTGCATCCCACCAGTATCCATAAATAGCTGGAATATCAGTACTTGTATCGGGGGAGGGGGTTACTTTTAAAATAGAATTTATATTATTCAAAAACCCAGTGAATATGAATTATATTATAAAATTATTCTTATAGTGATTCTATCAGAATTAAAATATGGGAGCTCCATGTGTTCTACAGTCCCGGTAAAAACATGCGCATTTTGGCTGTCCCAACGCATACTTGTTCCAGGCCAGTGAATCACCAAGAAGTGAAAAAGGATAGGATAACAATTCTGAAACAGTATCTTCAGAAATATGTGAGCAATTACAGCTTATTTATTTCTATCCTGGCAGGCTTTTACTACATGGAGCATGGTTTAAATGGTATGCCAATACAAAACTAATATTTTTGTTTCTGATACATGTCAGCAAGATCAATCAGCCACCAGGTTCTTCTATTCCTATATGACTCTAGCTACAAGTTCTTCTTGGCAGGACTCCTAAGTCACAAAAATTCTATGAAGGGATATCTCTCTTGGCACTGGATTTTCATCTTTCTCACAGATCGGCCATACTGTTAGCCCCCTCTAGACTTTTAATGACAGCATAATGGCAGACCCTTCTGGATAAAACAAGCTTTTTATTCCTTACAAATAATAAAGTAATGTATGTAAACAACTGGGGATAATTTCACAGATGTATCACACAACTGCATATACTGTATATCATCAGAAATTGTGCTAATTAGGTAAATGTGAAACTGTAAGGAAATAAATAAAGAGCTGCCAGAGCAGTCATCCTGAACCTGGCTTAAAGTGAAACTAAACCCTCCCTTCTTTTACAGTCAAAGATGCTATTTGAAGGCTTAAATGTTATGTTTACAGCTGACCTTCAATGTAAATATTTCTGGAAACAGTTAAATCATTAAGTTTAAGGGTGCATTCACACCAAAATCAGAAGCAAATCACAAGTCAACGAAGGGTCCGTTGACTTGCAATTGTACCTTCCCATTCCCTTCTGATCCATTGTGCTGCGATCAGTCTTTCATTCAATGCTAATGGAAGGGCACCAAAAAATGAATGGATGTGAATGGGGCTAGTTCACACCGGAATCCATTGTTACATTGCGTTAAAAAGGTTCTACTGTTTTTTTCAGTGCAACATAACGCAACTGACGCAGCAGTGTGAACTAGCCCTATTCACAACCATTCCATTTTTGGTATAGGAAAATTAAGGATTCAAGTCCTGTGTGACAGCGCTCTCCTGGGGGGTGGGGGATGGGTGGTTCTGTGTTGTTCAGAACTTTTCCGGTATTAGTTTGGTTAAGTGGGGGCTGTGTGGAGGAGGATGGTATAGAGGTGGGGGTGGTGTGCGGCTTCAGTTCATATGGACCGGGGGGTCCAATTGGTATGGGTGCAAAACAGAAAAACAGAGTTTGAGGCGCAACAGCCCTTGGGGTTGGACAGGTGAGAATATAGCGGGAGTTACATTAAGTATCAGGGGTGGAGGGAGAAATAAAAAACAAAACAAAACAAACAAACAAATGTGCACCTTTTTTGTCTTTTATTTCTCCCTCCACCCCTGATACTTAATACATCGCGGAGGGAAAAATATCAACGTAATCGCTTCTCGGGCAGCACTAACCCTGCATGCTCTGGCCCATGTAACTCCCGCTATATTCTCACCTGTCCAACCCCAAGGGCAGTTGCGCCTCAGACTCTGTTTTTCTATTTTGCACACATTTTTGGTGCATTCTGTTAGCATCTATTGAAAAACATATCACAGTGCAAAGACCTGCAACACAAAGGATCACAACGCAACTGATCCAATGTGAATAGGCCCTAAATCCACTATATTTACAGAACTGCTAATCCGGCATGCATGACCTACCAAGCATAGAGCCAGTGTAGTCTGAAAAGTTTCATCTGCCATCCTGCATTTTTTTTCCAGGTTTAGGACTCTGTAACAGGCTATGAAATGCTGGTGCCCAGTTGGGGAATAAGTGGGCCCCTGGTTACAGACTGAAGTGTTCTTCGCTGATTATGGACCAGTTTGTTGTTTATAAGCTAAATAGATCATAATTGAAAGCTGTTTCTGTAAACACTGGCAAAAGAATGAGATACTTTAAAAACAAATCGACAATGGCAACTCCAATATTTATATCCTGACAAGAACGTTATATGTTTATATCTGACTTGTGGAAATGTATTTTCTTGCTGTCAAACTGTTATGGCTCCTTTTCTGTGTGGAATCTGTGTATAGCACATTTATACCTGAAACAATCATAATTCATGTTCTATATTTAGAGCAAAACTCTAAATATACTCTAAATCAGTTGTATAAAAGTGCAGTAAGGACATACCATTGTTTTTTATATGGACCCCTAAGTGAACTTTCAGATCAAATTTCCTAGACATTATAAGAAAATGATCGACAAACTTTGTTTTTTTTGCTGCCTGGATTTCCTTTTTAAAGTGTTAGTCCAGTCAGCTGGGATAATTAAGCTAAGGGTGCACATTTAGCGGCTTTATCACCAACAGGCTTTTGTGGACTCCAGTTGGAAGATCTGATGTTCCTCGCCCCCTCTCACACCTACTGCATCAGAAGTCTCAGTAGTCATGTCCCATTCATTCTCCATCATATAAAACTAATGGCATTTTCAATAGAGATGGTGAGACACCATGGAAATAGCTGTAGCAGGTGGACGCAGCAGACAAATCTCCTCTAGAAGCAAGAAGAAACAGAAAAATGATTCAACCCACCTCCTACCCTATAAATAAAAACTATATATAACATTGCCAGAAATACCATCGACAGTATGTTATACATATTGTTTTATTCATTCATTATAAGAGATAAAAGGGGAACAAAGTCATTTATACAGGGAAAAGTCATCAGTAAAAAATACGCAGACAACAAATAAGATGTAAAATAAAGTTTATTGTTTCAAATAACAAAATAAATATTCTAATGTAAAATAAAAGACTACCGCAAGTAATTCTATGCAGAACACGAACAAAACACAGGCCATCAGTTAACATTTAGATCACACTGTGTCACATAGTAATAATACAAGTAGGTGGGTATTGTCATCCAGGACGTACATATAACACAGGAAACAGGGATGAATGGAATGCCATGTATAAGCACTTGTAACCTTACTTTGTTACTTTGGGATGTACACCGAGCTGTTCTAGATGTCTGCTCCTTACTAGCATACTGAGCTCTGCAAGGGAATATAGTGCAATGACTATTATAAGGAATTCATTAAAAAGTATGTTAGCCTATGTTAGGGTTATAATGAGTTGAATACTTAATTATGGTGCATATATAATAATATGGGCACATATCATCCAATTATATTTCTGCCTTTACCATGGTAGAGTAGTCAGAGTAGTGATAAGATTGGCTGGCAAAGCCTTATGTATTTCTCTGCTTCTTTCAGCATGTTTTCACTGAGTAACTCCCTTTAAGCATCCTTCAGCTTTCAGGAGTGTAGTGTGTTTGCTATGTAACTATAACTCATCTCAGTACTACAGTTCAAAACTATTTCACCTTTGCCTGGTTGCTGTCATATATTGGCACTTTGTAAGCCTTGGTGACTTCATTGGTGAGAAGTCCCTAGTTTCACCAGAATGTCAGTGCCATAAAACTAGATGTTATTACTTGCCTGATGATGAATTCATCATTATGTACAGTTAACAAATATTTGGAAGTTAAGCTGAATAACTCACACCTTTGTCATGGCCTTTTGGTGAGGAGTGGAGACAAATCTCACCACTGTAGTCTCCAAGAGACATAAGAAGCCAATGGATAGTTCAACTTACCATTAGTGTTCACTATTA